TAATTTTTTAATTTAAATTGTTTACGGAACATAAATATTTTTAATGAATATATGGCCTTGGACATCCAACGAGCATGATGCATTGCACCATGACATTGAAAATATATGCCACGAGTAGGGGTACCACCAAGAAATATCACAGCTAATTCCAATAATTCTCTGTAATCGTCTCTGTTATAAAATTTGCGTAATTGGTCCATATAAAAAATAACATAACATTAGTTACATCATTTAATATTCCACTGACAATTATATCTTCTATTCCGGTGTTATAATTATTAACATTAAGTTTTGGCCAAAATTGTTGGAAACGTTTAAAAATTTGAATATCTGGACCAGATGTAACTCCAAAATTTACTTTTGCGTAATTGGTCCATATAAAAAAAAAATATAACATTAATTGCATCATTTAATATTTTACTGACAATTATATCTTCTATTCCGGTCTTATTATTATTAACATTAAGTTTTGGCCAAAATTGTTGGAAACGTTTATAAATTTGAATATCTGGACCAGATGTAACTCCAAAATTTACTTCAAATGCAGATCTAGGTATAATTTCTTAAATGTGAGGCCTGCAAGGAAAGTATAAAATATCACGTTCTAATAGCTGTTCCAAATTATACATGCTCCTTTTAGACGACCTGTATTCGAAGCCGTTATATCGCAACATAAAGCTTGTATATTATCGATAAGGCCCCATTCTTTAAGTGCTTTAAACACTGCTTCCGCTTGATTTTGACCAGTTCCGGATATAAGCTTAGGAACACTTAACAACTTTTCAGAATTTTTAAAAGAAACAATTACTGGTAAACGATNTTCCAAAATTATACATACTCCTTTTAGACGGCCTGTATTCGAAGCCGTTGTATCGCAACATAAAGTTTGTATATTATCGATATTGACCAGTTCCGGATATAAGTTTAGGAACACTTAACAACTTTTCGGAATTTTTAAAAGAAACAATTACTGGTAAACGATCAACAAGCTCTTTTCCTGTTAAATCTGGGAGCAGCTTACCATCCCAATGAACAATAACTGGACCTACCTTCTGATGAATTGAATTCATTTCGAAGTTGGTCTGCTCTGTCCTTACGTAAACACTAGCGTATTTGATTAATAGATGTCCGGTTTAAAATTAAATCGCATACACGTATACCTAACGCTTCTACAGTAGCTGTTAATATATGAACTGCATCGCGATCACTTATTTTACACCTATCCAATGCGATTGCAAGTTTTCGGTGCAATACAATTTTTATTACCTCTATTTTTAAATGTNAACTGGACCTACTTCTGAAGAATTGAATTCATTTCGAAGTTGATCAGCTCTGTCCTTACGTAAACGTTGGTGTATTTGATTAATAGATGTCCGGTTTAAAATTAAATCACTTACGCGTATACCTAACGCTTCTACAGTAGCTGTTAAAGTGTAGTCTATTTTTAGAACTGTTTCGAATCGTTAAAATATTAAACGATAATAAAATAAAATAATTTCATAAAAATGCGATTATTTTAGATAGTAAATAAAACCAGTTTTCCAAAATAAATTATAAAAATATAACAATAATTTAGATATTTTATAATATTGTTACGCTTTTTAAAAACTTGCATGTTTCATAATCAGTTATATTAATAAATATTACGTAAATCAAAAAACTAAATAGAACAAAAGTTCTAGAAAATTTAATTCACTATAAATAATGTCCGAAACTTATTTTCGTAAGAAATGATAACAACGAGATAGCAGTCAATCAATTAAAAAAAACTGTGGTTACTTGAACAGAACAATATATTTGAACTTTGAGGGCTGGGGGGGCACGGGTTAAACTTAATATATCGATATAAAATTTTGTATACTTCATTTATATACATATTTTAACCAATTTAGGGGGTGAGATTGAAAAAATGTTATAAAAAAAAATTACCTATTTGACGGAGGGCCACCCTAATATATATTATAAAACAAACAACCATTACAAAAATTATTACACATATATAGCACATATTATGAATTATATAAAATTACAAATGTATTTATTTAGGTATTTTTGTAATTTTTTTATAAACATAAATATTATTAAAGATGAAACAAGAATTCATAAATAAGTATACAAGGATTATGATGAATAATGATTAAGTGTAACATGGTTTTACGCGTTTGGGCAACGTATGAAATAACAATAGAAGATGACGAACATTCTGCGGAATATATCTGCAGCGCAATCCTCTGGCCCTTTCAGCGTGGGCAGTATTCATCTGAAACGGTTAAATAGAAACTATGATAGAAAAAAATTAGAGGAAAAGATGGTAAACATATTTGACGACAATACAAACGACCAGTCATAAACCCAAAGTAAATGTGAGTACAACGACAAAACGATAAAAATATGTAAATAAAGAAATACGTAGGTATACGGTCAATACTTTATTATCGTAAACGTCCCTATCTAAACGTTATAAGTTATAACCAGAAAAATATACACGGTTTATTTTCATAAAATTATTACGGTGAATAGCGTATTGCGTTCAGTGTGTTCAGTGTGTACAGTTTTCTAAGTACTAATGTAGGAATTCAGTATACATGCTTAATATTGTATATATGTATCGCTTAAAATATTTGAAAATTTTGAATACCATATTTAAAGTATAATATACCAAAGGTTGGCTATAAATATAGGTCCCATACAATTATGAAGGCAATTTATGACAATTATATAAAAGTATGAAACTTATTTAAAAAAAAAAAAGTTATTAAATACCGAAATATTTAACGAGTTTGAAGTAATTCATTTTTTTTAAATTTTATGCAATTTTCAAACGCTACCGATGACACCGTAAAATTATACAAAGGAACATCGTTTTCGGTGTACATGGCGGAACTACAAATGATATCAAATGTATAACAAAATAATACACACAAGTAAAAGTGTTACGTTTACAAATTATGATAACAAATGTATCACGACGCATCAGCTAAAAATTTTAACATAAGGGTAAATAAGGTGACGTATCATAGGAAAACCGATGCAATGACGGGACTTAGGAACTTATAGAATAATGTGCGGATGTCGTTAGGTATGAATATACAAACTTTAAGGCAGACACGTTGGTGGCTTGCGATGAAGTCTCCATTAATTCTTCATCGCCACTCCAGTCCTCTTCTAATATAGTGTATAAATGTCTTGGCGGCCTAACGACAAGAACGAACGAATCACAATAATGTTTATTTTTTTTTATTTATTAAGTTCTTATATATATATATATATATATATATATATATTTTAATCCCATTTATTATGGGGCAGGTCCCAAAAAATCGTGATAAATTTTGACACATTCAATCAAAATGGCATTGCATAAAAATAAATACTCGGTATATTTCTCCAAAAAAAAGTAAGAATGTACCCACCACGCGTGAGAAATGATAAGTACCGGCCGAACAAAGTATATATATATATGTGTGTATAATAAAAAAAATAGAAACATGTGTATAACATATTAAATATGCTTACTGGTTTTTCGTCAACTTCCACCTACAGTATGAAAGAATTTTTGAACTAAAAAAAGATACACGCAATTATAAACTGCCCAATATGGTTAAACAGCAGCGGATCCAGAAGACACCCTTGTTTTCAAAAATACAATAACTTTTAGATTCTGAGTTAAGGGAAGAAAATTATGAATATACGAAGATGTTATTATTTTTGTTTTTGGAGAACGACTGTTCTGCTGAGATCTTATCCCGATTTTTATGTATGATTTTTAAATCTCTTATAACAGTTGCTGCACACGGCCTTATTATCCTAGGAAGTCTTTTTTTTTCTATTTAACCTGTATTGAAAGAACTTATTATTTGAATTCTCGCTATAAATTCTTATATCCCATAATCTTCACCCCCACGTTGAATCCGCGCCTGTGATACCGATTTCATGATAAGTCAAATCGTAATTTTTGCAATGTGTATAACATAATTTTAAATAAAGTTATTTGGTTGATTAAATTGTTTGAAAATATCTTTGTAAATTATTCCTAGTACGTTTGTTGCAAAATAAAATTTAACTGTACATAAAATCTACACAAAAAATAAAGAAAAACAATGCTATCAAAATATTATTGGTAATTTGAAGTAGATACCTGCTGTTTCTATTTGCAATACTATTTAAACTCTTCCTGAGCCGCGTGTTTGTCACCACCGTTTCGGCATTCGGACTTTCGACGACACTGAAATGCACGAAAACGCGCAAAAATATATTTATGGTTAAAAGCCGTAAAAATGGTTGTGGATAACGCATTAGGAACATTAGCTAGACAAGGTTTTCGTTGGCCACCTCGATAATCAGAAGTCTGCATTATACTATGACAAACGAAAACTCGGTCCGTTTATACCCTAGAACAGTGACGTATTTAATGGGGGGAGGCGATGGGTAGATCGCCCGTTTTTGGAATTTTTGCGACAGTGATTTTGTAATCGTCGCTATAGCTTAAAGGCAATGAAATAATATAGGAATTTAAATACCAGTTATTTATTATTTCTTGGGTATTTTTATCAGCATTACAAAAATGAAGTGATAATGAACTAGGGCAATATGTTTTATCTAAAATACATATGTATAGGGCCATCGATATGGATGTTGAAACAGTAGTAATCGTAGACTGGTTTTGACGAGACAAAAAAAATTGTATTGCATTAAAATTGTTGTGTATATTTGTGATTGTGTAATTATTCGATATGAATATATAATGTCTACGTATCGTGTAATATGTACCTATATTATTTTACGGGTAAACGCCGAAATCGTGCAAAACACAAAATGTCCACGACACTTGTGTAACACGTCATACTTCTTCTTTTTCCCAAACAAATCTATATAGTATTTAGTGACCAACAGCAATTAGCAAAACTGTACCGTCTAAAAATTTCGATTATTCACATTTCAGAGATTTGCTCGGTTTCGGCTTTTGATCGAAACATATATAATAATTTATTATTATTATTATGTTTTTTTTTCATCTATAATTTTTTATCCTTATACCTATAAATTAATTTACTTTTCATTGCCAAGGAGAGTAATTGTAAAAACAAAATGATAACTACTGTTTTTTTTCGGGACGGGAAACCCGTCACGATATTTTGTCGTGAGACCCTCCTTGACTCAATCTCCAGATACGCCACTGCTATAAATAAAACCCTGTCAACGAGAGCACCATCTCCAATTTATGCTACACAACAATACTGCATGCTATCCTTAAGACACGGTTAACGTCACCGCTCGGCGACGCACCGCTGATAAGCGACCGTTTTTGACAATTATATGGAGGTAAGAAACTTACGTAAAAAAAAATAAAAATATTATTAATATACCGAAATATTTAAAGAGTTTGGGGCAATTCATTTTTTTAAAAATTGTATGCAATTTTCAAACGCTACCGATGACACCGTAAAATTATACAAAGGAACATCGTTTTCGGTGTACATGACGGAACTACAAATGATATCAAATGTATAACAAAATAATACACACAAGTAAAAGTGTTACGTTTACAAATTATGATAACAAATGTATCACGACGCATCAGCTAAAAATTTTAACATAAGGGTAAATAAGGTGACGTATCATAGGAAAACCGATGCAATGACGGGATTTAGGAACTTATAGAATAATGTGCGGATGTCGTTAGGTATGAATATACAAACTTTAAGGCAGACACGTTGGTGGCTTGCGATGAAGNTTTTCCCGAGCCACATGTTTGTCACTACCGTTTCGGCATTCGGACTTTCGACGACACTGAAATACACG